TTCAGCTTGACAGATGCGGCAGGCGACGCCGACCGTGGAAAGAGAATGTACTTGGAGACGTTAGCTTCTTTGCTTTTTCATTTTTCCCTGAGTTTCCCTGACCGTAGCAACCCTGACTACAATAATTTGTAACTTTGTGCTTTTGGTGCATTACATTTTTGACTTTCAGACTCAACACTCATTCACCTTGGGCGCTCCATTGATACAATGATGCGCAAACCAATTTCCAGCTTTTTTAGTAAGTTACCGGTTTCCTTTGCAATGAGGAGACAACCTCCGACATCTTCCATCCCAGGAGACCTCAGCGAAGTCTCTTAAGTAGTACTTAGTTGCATTTCCACCCATGCTCATAAAAGTTATCTCCACTTTTAGGGTCCATTAGCATCACAAACCAGACACCATGGTATGACCATGGAGATTGTTTTCCGACATGAAAAACCTGAGGCAAATGACATGGCACACAGGTAAAGATAAAAAGTCCTTCAGTGAATGCAAACTTCCTCCATATACAAGCACCTCCAAATATGAGGGCCTCAAAAAGGGCCTTTGAAAATTGCAATAGAGAGAGACGGAGATGTTTAGTTTTTCTCTAAGGAAGCTGAGTTAAAATAAATGAAATACGTGTATATCTATCAGTGGTTTTGAGTTAATATCACTTTTGGACATATTACTTAATATCAATTGGGAAAAGGAAACCTAGATACTAACCTTTGATCAAATAATTTAATCTAACCTAGGTTTGTAGAAAGAAATTGAAAAAATGGCAAGCAATCGTTCCCATCTATATTTGAATAAATTCCTTTGGTGGCAATCACGCAAATCCTCGGGAAATGTATTCCCAAAAATGCACTCTTACAGCCAAGACGGTATTGTCGTTTGTTGTTACATTTGCCTCATTTCTTTGTACAAATTGATTTTCAAACACTGCTTCTTTTTCTGCATAGTTGAGTATTCACATACTCCCCCCTCAAAGATGGAAGCCCTGCATATACTGCCCCGTTGCGTTAGGCTTTCTCCATTTAGCAAGGTGCAGGGTATTCATTAAAGACCCAATTGAGGCCTGGGAGAGCCGGGATTTCTCAATGAGGGAGAGGGTAGGAGATCGGCCGCTCTTCTGCCAGACGGATACGTCGACGCAGACACTTAAGGTGAGATCAAATCTTCCAGTACATTTGGTTGGCAGAAAACAATGTGATAGTAATCTCTCCTACGTTACGACATTAACATTTATTTTTAAACACTGTTTATAAAATAAATTGACTGAGATCACATCTTCCTAATAGAGTTGGCGGGGCAAAGGTGTCTCTTTTGTTGTGGGAAAGGGGGGGGGGAGATATGGTACCTTCCTTCATAATATCTCCTTGATTTTGCGCATAATGATGTGTTCTTTTTCAAACTTCTTGTATTCAGTCACCACAGCTAATGGCCTTCAGATGGGCACAATGATCTCCAATAGTGTCCAGGATGCAGGATTTGATGCGAGGGAGCTCTCGCACAGATCATATAGATCTGTAAGTATGCCTGCATCGTTTATCAAATTTAATGCCCCTAGCAATTTGTGGACTTGTCCAGTTATGTGAAACATGTTCAATTGGCAACAGTGATCATTCAAACGTTAACGCCACAACCAAAAGCAAATGACCTTGATAATTGTTTGTCTTTACCAATTCCATGCAATGCACTTTGCAGACACTGCATGGGCAGCAAAAGACAAGTAAATCATAACGATTAATAACAAGTATTTAAATATTCATTTTATACCATGTAATGCTATCCCACAAATCATATAGATCTGTAAGTATTGCTGCATCTTTCATCGAATTAAATGGCCCTACCAATTTCTGGACTTGCGCAGTTGTGAAACAGTTACATTTGGCAGCTGTAAACATTCCAGTCCTAAAGGCACAACGTTACTCAGCTGATTACAATTAACGATGCCAATCATTTATGGATTTGTCTTCACTAGTTCCATGCAATATTTAACCCTGCCGATACTTAATTGGCGCAAATGGAGCTTCATAGATGAACTGAACAATCAGACTCCTGTTCTCCTACAATTACCGGTTGGAATCCCCATTGAGAAATTTGAGAACGCAGGCAGATGCTCGCCAATTATACGCCAATGAATTGGAGGCATTTCTGAACAACCATCAGCCCCTGAAAAAGGCACGGGGTAAGTTAAGAATTGATATTTCATTTATAGTCCATTTAAAAAAGCACCAGCTGCTAAAAGTGTATCTTAAATCAATTACGTTGTAAACTTGCAAAGTTACTTGTGTACACAGAGAATAACATTGTCCTTGACAAGATATTTTCAACCCTTTTACAGAAAAGTAACAATCACAATACAATTATACTGGTTTCCAGCTCAAATCAATCATAGATGCCAGAAACCTTTACCTGGTATGGCACCAGGACAACCATCCAGGGGAGCCAGGAAAGCTTCGGTTCCACTGACACCGTTAGACATAAAGGAATTCTGAATGTTACGTGGCAGAGCACGATTCTCCTTTACGAGAATAATAAATAACATTTTTGGGGGTCTCTGCATGTGGATAGGTATTATTTCATTATCAATAAATTTCTTCAACTTTTTAGCACCTTTCAAATGAACACCCTTGCCCAGCAAGTGCCCATCCAGAGCTAGGAGAGAGCCTCATCAAGTATCTGAGGAAGGAGTTGGGAGAGGTGGATATTTTGCAGAAGAAGCCTCTCTTCCATCAAGACTTCAAACATATTTTGGATTACCTCAGGTTAGAAACACCAGCTGCCCTTCAAAGTAATTCACTGCAACATACAAATTCAACAATTGATACTTCACATATGGTCAATTTTTAAAAAAATTGCAAATTAACTTAAAAAGTTTTATGCAGATACAAAAAAGCCTTGTTCTTCACAGGATTTTTTTCCAAGCCCCTTTACTGTAAAGTGATCCAATTACAACACAGCTACATTGTTTTCCACCTCAAGTCAATAAGACGATGCGAGACATCTTTTTCTCATATATGGCACCAGGAGGTTCATCCTGGGGTGCAGGCAATGTTTCCTCTCACTACAATGGACATAAAGGCTCTCTGTGTATTAAATGAAAGGGCTGGATTCTCCTTTACCAGGATTACCAACAAGATAATCAGGGTCTCTCAACACAGCCCATGCATCGCACTTTCAACACCAGAAGCGTTCCTTTCTTTTTAATCATCTCCTATTACTATTATTATTATTATTATCCTTACGATGATTATTAAAATCACTATCACTGTTTTAATCTTCTTTTAACTGCAACATGTTTTTAGTGGCATGTAACGTGTTTTCAGGTCATTCACCGAGAGGAAGGCCGGTGTATCTGGTCAAAATATAGGTGAATAAAAGTTGTAAAATCACACTCTTCATTTGTGTCAAATAATTATGTCTTTACCATAAAGGATTCTATTTATGATGAATACCTGTGATCGGCTATATAATCTATTACACCATATATCACTATATATCTATTACACTACACAGTACGCTGATGGAATTAATTGGCTCTCATGTTTGATGTATTTCACACCAGTTGCCTTAGTGGACCAAAGGGGATAGTGTTTACGGGCAGACAATGTAAATAAAATATCTAGTGAAGAGGAGGTCTTTATACAAAACAAATACTAAAATCACTTAGAATTACATCATTTTTTATGATTGTAAAAGCTACCTGAGTTTTGAGAGGACTTAATTAGCTGCTTATAGTATAGAATCCAAAGTTAGCCACACACAAAGAGATACACTTAAAAATTTACATCCTGACGTAATCTAATTTTTACCATGTAAATAATATTATACTTTTACGTTCTTATTTTGTAAAGTTCCATTACATTAAATAATTGAGGCGATTTGCTCACAATTTTCTGACAGTCTGTGCCAATTAAATGAACCATTTTAAAATATGGTTTCACTTCACAAGGGTCGCTCCTGAAGGGGTCATTTTTTCCAACATTACCCTCCTGGAGAACAGCGCACTCATTGCCAGTTTCACCGCCAGCTTGACAGATGCGACAAGCAACGTGGACCAAGCAAAAAGAATGTACTTGGAGACGTTAGCTTCTTTACTTTTTCATTTTCGCTGACCGTGGCAACCCTGACTACAATAATTAATAATTGTATTGTATAGAATCCAAAGTTGGCCACACAAAGAGATACACTTAAAAATTTACATTCTAATGTAATCTAATCTTTACCATGATGTAAATAATATTATACTTATATGTTCTTGTTTTGTAAAGTAAATTTACTTTTCCTTTTAATTACTGTTTTTTGTTTTTCAAAGTGACAAAACCATGCTTCTATATATGAGCCTTGCATGTATACTTGGTTGAGATCTTGTTGAGAAATAGGTTTCATAAGAGTAAGAGCAACAACTCTTTCAAAGGAAAACAAAAGATTAGAAAGGCATGTTGTACCTAGAGTTACCCAGAATGAGTCCTCGCTGAGGACTGGTCTGGTGTTCAGATATTACAATAGGGGATGACATGCGTAGTCACGGAACAAAAAAGACTTCCAAGTGCTTGAAGGCACTCCCCTATTTGCATTCTGATTGTTAAAGAGAGAGTGAAGAGACTGAAGAGACAGGGTTTGTACTCTTTTGAGCTTTTCAAGTTCCATGACTTTTTCCATGATCTGAGGGTCTGCTGTCACTTTTGAATATTTTCAAAACTCTCCTTGTTTTAGGGTATTTTTTTACATTGGCTAACGTAGTTCATCAGACACAAACTCTAGTGTCCACTAAACTCCACGCCAATTAATTACTATAGTCTTTATCTGACAACGTCCTTGCTTTGACATCTACAGTATATAATCTATCTAACGTAAATTTAATTTTTAATGACTTTGCAGGACCGTCAATTAAATTCCATGACTTTCCTTGTTTTCCATCACCCGCACAAACTTTGCAAAACAAGATTTCACCCTTGGGCTGCACCCCTTGTGATGCCTTAATAAAACAAAACTTTATATACACAAACAGCATGACCTATAAAGTGGCCCACAAGCAGTGTGACAAATTTATGTATTCGTTGGAAAAAGGTAAAAATTACTAAGAGAAAAGCCGAACACCAAACATCCTTGCATCAAGGAAATTGCAAATCCACCTAAACTGAGCACCAACTGCATTAAGAACTTATGGTAACACATATTGTTTTTTGCTGATGCAGCCCAGCGATTAGCAAGCAAGTTTATGGTTTTATGGTTCAATTATATTTTGATGGTTGCCATAGCAACATCTAAACTGGCAACAAATTTCCATGAAAGTGTGAGTCTCTTTAACCACTGTTCAATTTTTTAATGAAAAACTTTCAGTGGCAAATTTGACGGGAAAAAAATTTCGGTGTGGCTAGATTGAGAATCAATACCGGGGTGTAGTCTTGACCACTTTATTAATGCAACGAAGTATTCAAATTCAAATAGCAACAACCGTAATCCTAAATAGAAGCTAATTGGTTCGAGCCAGTCGTTAACTCTAATCAGTATTGCCAGTGCTTCACTCTGATCAATTTTGTAAGAATCCCGTATGAATAGCAAATACAAGTCGACGTACCGGTCCCGTATGAATAGCCACTAAGTTTCTTTTTATAGACCAGACATTTGGAGATTACTTACACATTACAAAAGCTTGTCCATAACCCATTTACCTCATGTACATCTCTTGTTAATTTGCAGGGGTTTGCCACACGATTTGTCCTTTTTTCAGCCATCGAGAATGGGGGGAATTTCACTGAAAACCAGATTGACCAGCTGCGGAGACTTGGGGGTTGGTCTCCAAGATCGGCAATTGTCCACCTGTATGTCAAAAGAATTATCGAAGAATATACTGACGTGGCCTCTCTTCTCACTCCAGGTATCTCCATGTTAGTGTTTCACTGTATATGGAGGCGTTTGCTAACGTAGCAGAGGACGTGAGCTAGTTGATTCAACCTGCTGGACAAATAATGGACGTTAGGTGGACATTCTTAGTTACATCACTTTAACAACCCATTTCAGTAACAGACTATCGTGCCATAAAAAGAAAGCACACTCAGATTGGTCAAATGTGCCATAACTATTTTTATCATCGCTGCACGTTATGATCCAGTGCCACCACATATCCACTACCTGTTAACAAATTAATATTGCCTTGTGGGGTCGCCTGCTGTAGACACAAAGTATGGGACAAAAGCCTATAGAGCTTTCACGCTTGACAAGTGATCCAGACAACCGTCCATGGGGTTCAACAATTACTTCCCTCCAAACCATTCAGATGCTTTAGACATTTCACTATATTCAAACTCTCTTGGTGTTTGGTGACATTTTTGTTTGGGGACAGCAACATTGAATTCCTGATTAATCTCTCATATACTTTTGCAGCCTATTCTAGGATTGCAAATAGCTTCATTTCATAGGACATAAAACGCAGTTCACTTTCAATTTGCATCAGAGTTGATGTTTCAGTGCCTTGACAACAGTGTTACATCTCTTAAACTATGTACCTTTTCTTCTAGGACTAAGAACACCATCGGAGAGGGAGGAGAGGCTGAAGCAGATCCCAGCTGCCTATAACTACAGACTTCAGCCTCCCTTGAAGAACATCACCACACAAAGGGAGGCTGAAGAGCTGTACCCAGCTGAGTACCTGGCCTTCTTGGAAGCCTACGAGCCACTGAAGAAGGCAAAGGGTAAATACAAATTTTCTGAAAACATTACATCATTCTAGCTTAGCTGGTAATTCTGATTGGCAGGGGGACGTTTGTATGAGTGTATTGTAAAAAGTATTGCTGTACACATGCTAATCACACAAACAAGATCAAATTTTGTAAACGGTTTACCATATAGTTACCTCGCTCATTTCCTAGTCAGAAGAAAATTGAGAAATCTTTAGAAACAGGCTATATCATATTTTCTTGTCAACATTGTATCAGGAAAAACCAAAACTTGGGAAACATCTTTTGGCCAAAACAAAAACTGAGCAAGCATACAAAACTTTTATGCACAACACTTGGCAGCTGGTTACAATTTCTCTTTAAATCATTGCCATAAATAATATAATAAAGAGTTTTCCCTTTTCTCTCTCTAAAAAATGCGTTCTGTAAAAGGAAAAACCAAAAGAAACCTTTTTCCACTGTGTATGCATACTCTGATGTGAAACCCTTAAAGGGTTGGGAGAATTCTCAATAGCTATGCAAACCCCATTTAATTCTCCCTCTCATGATAATATCAGTTAACTGCTTTGTAGTAATCTGTCCATTTTGTTTCATAGAAGAAAATCCCCCAAACCAGCGCAGAATTGCGAAACTCAAAGAAACGGGGACACAAGCCTTCTGCAGGGAAAGAAACCTGAAGAATCATGAGGAGAGGAGACTAAAGCCGCCAACTCCTCCAAAACCAGTAAGTTATTCTGTCCGAGTCTTGCTACAGTTTGAAGTAAAATTGGCCATAGGGAGGAGGGGGGAATTGGCAAATTAATGTCATGATGTTGATTTGGAATCGATGGGGGTTGATAACTTTGCTGTTATCTTACTCTTAAATTACAGAAAACGACGAGGACACTAGATATTCTGGCCATGTTGTCAGAATGGGCAGATGAAATACCCCTAGATGTGGTACACCTGGGCATCAGGTCCAGGTGGGTGGCACCGGGACCACACGGGGTTTACCCTGTCCAGTTCCAGTGCCCGTTCGTTGGCTGTGAGGCCACCTTCTTGAATGCCTCGGACTGTGACAGGCATGACACAGTCCAGAAACATCCCAAAAAGAGGCAGGGGGATGCCAAGAACTGGCTCTGTCGAGGTAGGCACACAAGAGTACTGTACAAAAAAGAAGGAAATGAGATGGTCATTTTACTGACAATGGGAGTGATAATATGTGACAAGCCATTTACTTTCAAAACAATCCATAACTCTGGACAGCTAGAAGTTTGCTGCATTTATGCAATTGTCTGAAGATTAACCAAAATCAATTTGCATAATGTTGAGTAAAAAAGTAACTGGGAAATGATGTCTGCATTTACTTCTCTCACCAGTGGATGGCCACACTTTTACTTCCCTGGATGGTCTGAGGCTGCACATCAATGCCAACCACCTTCCCAAGAGGCATGAATGCCGCCAATGTGGCTACACAACAAACCGTGTCGGCCACCTAGGCCGCCACATCAGGAGGAAGCACGAGGGCCAACAACAACATTTTCACTATCACTGTTTTAATGTTCTTTTAACTGTAACATGTTTATAGTGGCGCGTAATGCATTTTCAGGTCATTCACCCTGAGGACGGCCGGTGTATCCGGTCGAAATACAGCTGAATAAAAGTTGTGAAATCACACTCTTCATTTGCGTTGAATATGTCTTTACTATGAAGGATTCTATTTACGATGAATGCCACTGACAAGTTATATATATTACACTAAACACTATAACACAGTACCACAAGTGAAGAGTAAAACAATATGTTTTTCGTCTCTCACCTATATTTCGGCCGTGTTAAACACTTAATGTAACCTAATTTTTACCACGTAAATAATATTATACTTTTACGTTATTGTTTTGTAAGGTAAATTTGCTTTTCCTTTTAAATACTACTTTTTTTCAATTATTGAGAAAACCATGCTTCCATTTATGAGCCTTGCATGTATACTTGGTTGAAATTTTGTTGAGAAATAGGTTTCATAAGAGAGAGCAACAATTCTTTTAAAGAAAAACAAAAGATTAGAAAGGCACTTTGTATTTAGAGTTACCCAGAATGAGTCCTTGCTGAGTGTGAAACCACAGAGAATAGGAGTGGTGATTGTATATTGGGTTTCCTGTGTAACCCAAGCTTCTAATGCATCGAGGGTGAGTGCGAGAATACAATATGGTAGACTGAATCGTGCATTGTTTCCTGAAAGCATAATCCACCTCCATCCAGGACTGGTCTGGTGTTCAGATATTACAATAGGGGATGACATGCATAGTCACAGAACAAAAAAGACTTCCAAGTGCTTCAGGGCACTTCCCTATTTGTATTGTTAAAGAAAGAGTGAAGGCACTGAAGAGATAGGGTTTGTAGTCTTTTGAGGTTATCAAGTTTCACGACCTTTTCATGGTTTCCATGACATTAGGGTCTCTTGTCACTTTCGATTATTTTCCAAACTTTAATTCCTTATTTAAGGATATTTTTTTACATAACAGTTCATCAGAAACAAATTCTGGTGTCCACTAAAATCCATGCCATTTAATTACTCGTCTTTATCTGACATAAATTGTCCTTGCTCTGACATCTGCAGTATATAATCTATCCAACATAAATTTAATTTTTCATGACTTTGCAGGACCAACAATCAATCACCGCAACAGGCGCAGCTGTTTAAGTGAAAATGGCGGAAAATAAACCGTGCGCGGCTTCCATCAGCCAAAACGGCGGGAAAGTGTTAGTGGTGTGCTATAAATTTTGAGCCAGGTGAAAAAAAATTTTCACTTCCACTAAAGAAAAATGGCCAGTCAACTCAGAGGTATGGCTTCATTTCTAACACTTTTATTAGACGTGGACAACATTAAATTCCCCGCTCCATTACATTAAATAATTGAGGCCATTTGTTGACAATTTTCTGACAATCTGTGTCAATTAAATGAAGAATTTTTACAGATGGTTTCACTTCACAGGGGTCAACCCTGAAGGGGCGTTTTTTCCAACATTACCCTCGCGGAGAACAGCGCACTCATTGCAAGTTTCACCGCCAGCTTGACGGATGTGGCAAGCGACGTGGACCGCGCAAAGAGGATGTACTTGGAGTCGCTAGCTCCAGGAACGGTGAGACCTCTTGTTTTGTTACACTATGCGTAAACATGCAACACCACCTCTATCAGTCTCTCACCAGACTTTTCTCTTTCTTTAGATGAAGACCATAGTTGATGGCAGGAATTTATATCTGGCTTGGCATAGAGAGGTTAAGGTGGGGGTGGCTATGACTTTCCCCTTGCCGGAGATAGAGATTAAAACATTTTGTGTGGCATGCCCCAAAGCAGGATTCGCGTACAAGCGAATCCTGAACAACTTCTTCAGAGTTCTCTGTATGTGGGTAAGTTGACCTAATAATTTAAATACCAATGCCCATTATATGTAAATATCATCATTCAATACACTAGTTGGCCACCTAAAACCGCCTACATGTGTAACAGGACACAATGTCTTGCATAACATTAAAAGTGTTTTGTTTTTCAGAAGCAGTTCAGTCATACACCTTTTTAGTGGGGCAATTACATTAGTTGTATTTCCTATTTAATATATTAGACAAGTATTACTAAGCACTTAGGTTTTGATGAATATATATTTATTTCAAAATTACATAGCACGGCTATGACAGTTGCACTATGCCTGAAGTAATCAATCCATCCATCCGTGAATAATTTCAACATGGCAAGCGGACTCTCTCAACATCATACTCACAACTCTAACAGGCCATGTTTTAGGAGAACGTAATTCCACTTTTGAGTCTAATCCAACTTTCACTGATATGCACGTTTCCTTTATTTTCAGCAAGGTTCCAATGGATACATTAGTCCTGCCAAGCAGTTCGCCGAATTAGGGACAACCTTGAGCCGCTTCATGCGGAAAGAATTAGGGGAACAAGATCGATACCCCAAGAAGCCAATGTTTGCCCAGGATTTCGAGCATATCCTGGACAACATTGGCTTGGAGACTCCCACTGCATTGCAACGTAAGTGGATAAAATGAAAAGATTGTGTTACATTGTATACCACTAATTTATAAAAAATGAACTTAGTAATCTCCAGTTTTCTAGACCTTTCTACCCATGCATATTTTTCCTATAGGCGTGTGTTCAAGAAAGGGAGCTTCTAAAAGCCTTTAGACATCTCAGGGAAGAGCTGGGATTGGGGGAGTTTCCCCTTTCTCAGGGCATCAAAGTTGGAGATGTCACGTTCAGGTATCCTTGTTAAATTGTCACTGACCAAGACATAAACGACCATAATTGGTTACTTTTTGCTTTTTGTGCATATCGCATTTTTTGGGCCTTGAGACTCGTCACTCATTCACATTGGGCGGGTACTTGAGACAATGATGCACATACCAATTTCGAGTTTGCCTTTTGTTCGAGGGTCGAGGATAAATGGTCGAGGGTCGGGGGTAACTAGTCGAGGGTCGAGGGTCGAGGGTAAATGGTCGAGGGTCGAAAAATCCTCCACAATTATTTTTGAATTTTTTTCAATTTAAAACCTAAAATTCCCAAATAAAGCAACCAAAGGAAAGAAGCGTGACAGGAAGTTCAATAAATACCATAATACCATTAAACTGTTGACTGAGAACTTTGATGCAGGATCTCAGCTCTAATTTTCTTTAACTATAAGACATTTAAGATTCTATTTAAGATAGAGTACAATGCATGTGCATTTTTTCTTTAAAGTTTTAGATTTGAGAAAGAGTCAATTTCGAGAAAACGTCCCGTACTTCCCTTTGAGAAATTTCTATCTCTTGTACTGCCTAAGAATGTGATAATGCTACAACACCTTATAATCCAATTTCCGCTCTCTTATCTGTCAAGTGATCACTTACAGTTGGTTAAAAAGTTGGTTAATTAGTAGAAGCAAATTTCAAACTTTTAGCTCTAAAAAGCGGTCGGAATCATTTAAGAGAGGTAGTTGCATACAAGAGGTTTCAAATATAGTGATTTGACGTGGAAACTTTTCATATTTTGGAAAACTGGTAACTGAGCAGAGGCGGTCTCTTACAGTGGGTGGTCGCAACCGGATGTTCGACTGTATCAAATAACGAAGAACACCATACAACGCGTCTGTTTTTTTTAGCACCCTAAAGCGCGTCTTTACTTTTGTTTCTCCACTGTTCGTTTGGTATACATCTCTTCTGGGTTATATCAATTCTGCCAAAAAAGAATACAACCGCCAATCTCGTAAACCAAGAGCACATTGTAACTGGTTGTGGATTTTATCTTTTTATCAGGCGGTATGCTAACTAATCACCCAATCACGCGGTCCCATTCTCATTGCACCACAAAGTTCTCAGGAACGGCAGTCAGTCCTTGTAACAAGAAAACAATATTAAATAGTGATAGCAGAAACCCAGTGGTTTTCCCTGGATTTCAGAGAATGGGTTATTAAATGGAGAGGGTATTGTAACCCATACTTGCTCAACATCGACAGCCACCAAAAGGCGTCCTCTAAAATAATACAACAGGGAACATTTTCGTCTTTACCATCTTTTTGAATTAATTTATTTTATATGGCCTCAAAATTGGAATGTAGCCGACTAGCTGGCGACTCGCTCAGGTATGAGCTTTACAACTCATTGGATGATGACCAGCGCAATTACATCAACACACTTAACAGGGACTCTGTAAAGTGCGGATCCGGACGGCGGATAAGGACGGCGGATGGCGGATGGCGGACGGCGGACGGCGGACGGCGGACAATAATAAAAAAATAAAAAAATAAAAATAAAATAAAACAAAATAGACGTATAAAATAAATAAACGAGATAAATGAATAAGACGGCGGACGGCGGACAATAATAAAAAAAAATAAAATAATAGAAATAAAATAAAAAATAAAAATAAAATAAAATAAAATAGACGTATAAAATAAATAAACGAGATAAATGAATAAGAAAACATAAGAAAAGCGAGAAATACAAAAAAAAAAAAGAGAAAATCATTATTAGTCGAGACATTCTCCAATCACTGTCGGAATCACTGTCGGAAATCTTCGGAGAGGAGTCAAACAGAGTGGCCAGACACGTGGCTGGCTCGGATTTCACTAGCAACTCGTGCGAAGAGAAGATCTGTTGTTTTGGTTTGCAGAATTTTGGTTTGTTGTTTTGGTTTTGCAAAATGAACAAGAGAAGCTACGCTGATGTAGTATCTGGAAGTGGTAAGTTCATCTTTGCGCAGTTGTCTGTTTTATTTGGTGTTTGGTGTTTGCCGCAATGCTTTATAT